ATCAAGTTTCAGATTTTCCACCAACATAAAGCATGATTTTTCATATATTCCAAAGGTAAATAGTAGTTTCATACAAGACATGTGTTCTTCAAGTTTCAATGAACACTTACAACTCATACAGACACACAAGTTTCAAAGAATACATACAACTCATACAAGACACATGTTCTTCAAGTTTCATACAGACACAGCTTGTAAACACACAAAGTTACGAAAATGACAGCTTCTCAGTTTTTTTTCCTTGGGACCAACTTCTTCGGTGTCGTTCTCTTCTTTCTTGGTGTTCCTTGAGTAGTGCTGGGAGACCCATCACTCTCAGTAGGTTGGCCATTTGTGCCTTCTCCCACCAACAATGCGAAGCGGTCAAAAAAAAGAAGAAAATTAAGTAATCAGACAATCAAGTTTCAGGAAGTATAGATGGCTGTGTTTACCTTCTTGTCAGCCTAATTGGGTTGTCTTGCAAGATTGCTTCATTATTCGGTTTGGTGGGGCTGGTTACTACAATTGAATCTTCTGCAACAAATGGGACTATAGCAGTTTCATTCAAGGCTTGCACAGTTGCATTATCAGCTTCCACAGTTGCATTCTCAGGTTGCACAATAGGGTTTTCAGGCTCATTGTCTTGCTTCTTTGCCCTTTTTGTTGGGACTTTAGCATTTGGCCCATATTTAGTAGTATTTTTCCGGGCTTTCTTTTCCTGCGGGGAGAGAAAAAATATTAGTTGTCTCGCACTCAATCAATAAAATGAAGAATAAAAGATGCTACCTTTTCTTTGTCCCATTTAGCTTGCACTTGTAGCTAGTTTCTCCATGACCCAGCCACACGCACCGCTTGCACTTCCTTTTCCTGCAATTAGTTGCCTCTTTCCCTTAGCGACTTCAATTTCGCATCTTTATCGGCCCGATTAAGCGGCATCCTTTGCATCTTTTTTGCTCATGCCACCACTTCCCCCTCCGCACATCCTTTGATTCTCGGTTTTACGGGCTTTCAGCAGGTCTTTTAGCTAAAGGGGCGTGAACTGCAAAGTCAAGCACATATTCAGGCCACTGGGTCTTATCTGGAAGTGGCTCTATCAGTCTCTTATAAGCATTCTTGAACCTTTCCACTGAGTAATAATCATGAACAAAGTCTTCCATCTTAACTTCGAACTTTGTTGTGTCAAGTTATGAGGACCAAGGCATGCGACAAGGTTTTCCAGTGTCTTGCCACTTGAACACGTGTACATTCATGCAAATGTGACTTAACAACATGTCATTATGTGTGTCTTGGTTGTGTCATGTATCTCTCTGCAAAGAAAGCACCTGCCTCCACAATCTGTTAGGTTTCCTAAACCCCTAGTCCTTGCTTTCAATTGTTGTAGTATCGCAGGTAGGATCCTACCATGAAGCTTCTCTCGAAATTGCACGCCTCTTGTTCCAAAGTGTCATTATCATCTCTCTAATCTTGTCAAGAAGCTCAGCTACAGGTGTAGTCTTTCCAATCTTTGATCCAATTATTGAAACTCTCTACAAGGTTGTTGGTAATATAGTCACACTTGATTTCGTGGTTGAAGGCACTTCTCATCCATAACAATTTGTGATGGTTTTGAAGCCATTCCAATACATCGTATTAGTTTGTCACAATTTGGTTCAAGAAATATCCTCAATACTTGAGGCCTATATGTTCTTGCTCAGGGGATACATCTTTGAAAAAATATCTCCCCAAATCTTTTAATAAAATTCTGCATTAGATGCCTAAAACATTCTCTATGTTCAAATTTTGAGGGAACACATCTTTTCTTCGCTTTTTCTAACCCTTTGCATGCATCAAAGTGCAAATAGCAAGCATCTTGGTAGGTGACCTATGGCCTTATGTAGTTGACTCATAAACCATGTCCAGTTATCTATTGTCTCACCATCTATGAACCCAAAAGCAAGTGGATACATCCAATTGTGACCATCTATAGCAATGAGTCGTAGCCATATGCCCATTCCATCTACCATTAAGTCTTTGTTGAGTCTCACGCTAACATAAGGCCTACAACCCTCCAAAAACCCTCAATGCAAGGACTTAATGCACAAAAAATCAGTGGAAGTAGAATTTCCCATCTACCCCTTTATGTCAATTTCAATGACACTTCCAGTGATCGCCATAGTACCTCTCGCCTCCAATTGAACAACATTTCAAGTTCTCATTGCCACACCGCCAAACAACTCCTCCAATGCAATTTGTCTTCCTTCCATACGGTGTCATAGTGAATCTGACACTTGTGCTCATCTTGTAGCAGTTTCTGCATGTTTTTGGTGCCTATGGTGGAATCCTTCCTGAGGTGATGAATGGCCTTTGATGCCACCCAGGCACTTGATGGAGTGGTGGTCCTCCTCCTTGCGCTAGAAAGCACAGTGCGCAGAGCAATCAAAGTCAGAATCTCAATAACAAGCCAATAGCCAAAATATTAGATATTTACAACCAAAAAATGGTGACATAAAGTAAGCAAAAGTTATACACCTTGATGGTTATCCCATCAAAGTTGTGTTCGCCATTAATATGCCAAGGGCAATCATCCGCATTGCAATCAAAGAATGTATCTCTTCTTATCTGTTTTGACTAAGTGCGTTCAAACTCCTCATTTATTGCAAATTGCTTCATAGCTAGTCTAAACTCCTTCATGTTTGGATACACGGTGCCAATATTCATACAAGGCTTGTTAGGATCATAAGCATAGAGTCTTTCCCCAGTACATGATCATCAACAGAATTACAAAGACCAGTTGTGTCAATGTCAATGTCGCTAGCTTCTATTTCAAATGGGTCATCCCTCTCAGCCAGCAGACTGAGCCTCGGCCTCACTAGGCCTATCATGCTGATCATCATCAGCTCTCAAACCTAAAAGAAAGAACAACTGATCCTCATCAATTATATCTAGCACACCTCACCCTCTTCATCAATCAGAAGCAAAGAATCTGCAGCCTGTCCCAATCAACACCTTCATAACATTCTACATCCTCTGAACTACCAAGGACATCACATGTTTCATGTTCTACAGTGCTTATCATTGCTACCAACATCTCCAATTTGTTCTCATCGCATCTACACTAACCTCGGGCTCCGGCCGAGCCTGGAGAAATTGGGAAAAAAAAATTGGCAAGGTCACCGTATTGACTTCCCAAACCGAAAGTTACAGAATACAAACACCGCAAAAAAGAGGAATCATACCGAATGAGGTCACTCCATCTGCAAATCCATAGGGATTTTGATTGCTCTTTGTTACCCTAGCAAATAACCATGGGTGGGCTCGCTGGGGGCGTGGGGGCGCTGGGCGCTGGGGGCGTGGGGGCGCTGGGTGGGCTCGCCGTGGGTGGGGGTGGGTGCTCGATGTGGTGGTGGGGGGCTCGCCGTGGGATGGGGCTGCTCATTGGGGGTGCCTGCCTCGCTCGTTTCTTCGCAAGAAGCAAAGACGCCGATCCGTTCTGCGCCCCCGCGTTCCGTCTGTTTGAGCACCGGGGCGCAACCGAAAGAGGAAACGAGACAAAGCGTAAGAGGAAGAAAAAAGGGTTGCAAAGCTCTCGGATGGCATTCTGGCGGATGTGTCGGGTTTCGTAATGGCAATCTGGCGAAGCCCCGTTGCGGGATGGCAAATCACCGAAGCCCAGTTTTCATAATGGTCGAATTCCAAAAAGCCTGCCGGGGTCGGAGCAAAGTTGGATTCGGGACGAGACGAAGACGAAGACGCCACGGCCCACGGCCACGGAAAGCGGATTCAACCCAAGCCGCCTTCGACGCTGTAAAAACGGCATCTCTTTCTCTTAGTGTTTTACGGGCAGCGAGGCTGCTACTGCTATTGATTGAAGTATACTCTCGTGGTCTCGTGCAAGAACAAATGCAATTAGTAGCCAATTAACTGAACATGCAGAGAGATGCTAGTGCACAACCGGTTGTTTCTACCGGGTCCAGCAACCGTTTTTTTGTCCGTCCGATCAGCAGCGCGAGCATCTCCGTCTCCCGCGGCCGCGGCGGCTGCCTCCACTCCCGCTCCCGCTCCCGCTCCTCCCCCGCCGTCCGCACGCGCCCTTTGGCCCGCACCGCCTCAATCTGGCGTTGCTGTACACCAAGTTCTTGAACCATCAGCCTGCGGCGGCCGAGCGGGGCGCCGCCGCCATCGCGCCGGAATCGCTCGACACCTTGAGTGGGTCGTCGGATGACGTGAGCCCCGTCGTCGTCGTCCCACCGCGGGATCATCAGCCGTTCATGACGCAAGACGGCGGGTTTGGCGTGCTGTCACCGACGGCGAGCGCAGAGCCAAGCGCCGTCCCGCCACAGTGCCCCAACGACGCGTGTGCGGAGGCGCTTGAATCGAATTGGAGGCAGAAGAAGAGAATGGGTTCGATCTGCAATTTGTAATTATTTCTACAATATCTGTGAACAATTTGACATTTGTGAATAACTTGACATAATATTTCTCTTATATCTGTAATCCACGGAAATGATTTGTAAATTTTTCTAAAAATTTTGACATATATTTATCTGAGATCTGTAATTATCTCTAAATTACATCACTCTGTTCAATAAGTTATACTGCAGAAATTATTGTAAATATAGTAATAAGACGGTGTAAATATAGATAAGAAGACAGTGTAAGTGTATGAGCAAAAATCTAGTTGTTAGAAAGAGCTAAAACAATCCGTTATTGGCTAGAGAGACTCCGTTATTATAGCTCCATTATTATAGCTTTGGTAACGACGAACATTTTACAAAGATGATGAACAATCCTTTGCATCTACCAAAAGGAGCTCGCTCGCCGTCCTTGTCCTTCTCAGCTAGCTAAGGGCTAAGCTATAAGCTACTGCTAACCCATCCCGATGGACACATGCCATACGCGTACATCAACTCTGGGCACCATGCTCAATTTTCCGATATACCTACTGTACATATATAGTTCTCCACTGCTCTGCTTAACGTCTTGAGGTTGAGGAATCCCAATCCCAGAAGAAAAGGTCTCGTCTTGACTCTTGAGGGTTCAGTTCAGATCCTCAGGGCCGGCACCGGCAGTGCGGAGGTGGTGCTCTGGCTCCGGCTCCGGCCGTCGGAAGAGGCAGAAGAGTCGACGCCGCCGTCTGTCTCCTCGGCGATGGGGTCGAGGCAGAGCGCGGCGGCGCGGCGCAGGAGCTGGCGCTGCCGGCACACCACGTCCAGCGTCTCCGGCGGCGCGGGCTCGTCCGCGAACGCCAAGGCGAAGTCGGTGCGGGCGGCGGCGTTGCGGGCGGCGATCCTAGCGGCGGCCATGGCCCTTCCGATCCTCTGGAGGGACTGATTGGTGTTGGTTTGCTGAATATGGATATGGATGGATCGACTGAGTGACACACACAGCCTGCAGTGGCGGCTTGCAGTTGCAGCAGCCGGCTGCTCCCTCCCTCCCTCCCTGTTGAATTGCTTTGCTTGCGACTTGCAGTTGCAGCGGCTGCTCCCTGGCGGCTGAATTCCACACCACTCGAAGATGTCTGCCTCTCCGACGATATAATCTAGCGGCCGGAGCCCTCTTATTTATAGACAGAAGAAGAAGAAGAAAGAGGAGAGCAGCAAAGCAACAAGGCAAGAGGCAAAGGGAAGGGGAAGGAAAACGAGTTGGAGAAGCAAGGAAGGAGAAAGGAAACTTCTCAGGGATGTCGTGTCGCGCCATTTTGGGTTCACACCACACACACCCCTTGCCTTTACTGCGTTTTCGTCAGCAGCTCAGCTCTCTCCTCTTCCAGAAAAGAAAATCTTCTTCAGGCTTCCCTTTCCTTGTTGCTTGGTGAGTGTGTCAACTGTCACGTGCCATGTGTTGGCTTGCTGCTAAAGGCCGGCCGGCCAGTGATAGATATGGGCAGCGGAGGCCGTTGAAGCTAGCTACTTGTAAGTTTGTTGCATGTGTTGCCATTGCACACCACACGCTAGCTTGAGCTTCAACATCACCATGAGTCTTCCGTGTGTGGTTAATATTAATCTGTATCTTCTTTTGAGTCTTCGGTTCAGGTTACCATCTTATACATGTGTACACATATATACGCACTAATCGGCGACATGTGATAGATGTGCCAAAGATAGCTAGCGTATCTGATGGCAGCAAAACACACAATGTGCCGAAGTCTAGATACACTGCCTAACTAATAATACAAACAACCAATCAGACTCGTAGTGGTTGTGAAGACTTAGGGCGTGCTTGGAAGATTTGCTCGGTTCAGCTCACCTTGCCTCGCCTAGACGACGTGCGCCACGAGACGCTTGCCAGACTGGGCGAGCCATTTTGGCTCTCTAGGGCATAAAGGTTTTCCTTGCTGGCGCAGAAATCGAGGCAAGCAAAGCACACGAACCAAAACAGCTAGCAGTGTTTTTTGTTTGTTTGTTTTAGTTTCCAGCTGTCATTGTAAATTGAAAAGTGAGTCTTGTCTGAATTTTACTGTTTAGCTAAAGAAGAGTAGTGATTCTCGTGGAGAAACTACTCTAAGGATTACTGCCAAACAGCAGCCCATAGGTATGTATGCAGTATGTTTGTATGAATCCTGAGAAAATGAAGGGGGCGACTGAAAAGTTTGGTATCGAAGCCGTTTTTCTCTCCACTCCTTTCCTCTCTCACAGCGACCGCCGGAGCCGAAGAAGCTCGTTTTTTTGGACTCTCCGGCTCCCTTGGCACCTATCGGCCCGTGGGCAGCCGACAGGGGTGTAAGCCGGAGCCGCCGGAGCCCCGTGGGCGGCCGACAGGGGCGCAAGCCGGAGCCACCGGAGCCCTGCCAAACAGGTCCTAAATGGGGGAGGGGGAGCGCCGGCCAGTTGAATTTGCCGCGTTTTGCTTTGTGGCTTGTGGGGGGCGTAAGACGTGGCTACGTGGCACCGTATGTATGTATATGCGTCTTCCAACCATACATACATATAAAAAAGATGTATATATTTCCAAATTTATAGGTTGATCGGTTACTTTTTGATTTTTTTTTATGACATGTGGTTGGCTCCTGGAGACCTGGACTGGACGTCGCCGTCCCCGTTCGCATTGCACGGCACCGCACGGTAGCACTAATAAGTCACTAACAGCCTAAAAAAATTCAGCACAATACATCTCCAAATTACGTATAAAAAAATCTAAAATAAAAATGATATACTATTCTATTTAGATTCTTCACCGTCTTCTTCTCTGATGCCTTTCTAGATGCTCTAGATGAGCTAACATCGAATACAGCCAGAGGTGGTGTAGTCTTTATACCGAATTCAACGATCAACCTTAAAGTGTTGTTTGATTGACCATAAGTACATGTGTGCGTATATACTTGTACACATTTTATCACTCATGGATCCAAAAACACAATATTTTTGTTTCTGTGATGGGAAATTAAATCCACGTCTGGTAATACTTATATATACAGAAAAAAAAACAAGTTTTACACTACCCGCCTTAGAATATACTGAGTTTGTTCTAAATCAAAAACTATACCAAAAGCCTGTTTAGATGAGCTATGGTTAGTTGTTAGATGAGCTAGTTAAACACTTGGCTAAAAGAAATGAGTCCACCTATTAATTAGCCCGATGCACTAGGGCTAATTTTAGCTAGCTGGCAATTAGCTCTTTATCAAACATACCTTAAATCTGACAATGTTTACAGAGAAGAGTATCATGTGAAAGATATAAATAAATTATAAAAATACATCTATGATATGCTAATTTGATAGCATAAATATTATTTTTGTACTTCTATAAATTTGGTCAAACTTAGCTGCAAATTGTAGTTTGCATCTGAGTCAATCTATCATGCATACTCCATTATTGCAAAGCAAATTATTTGCAGTTGTAAATAGTAGCCGACCCATTGCAAGGCAAATTATTTGCTTGGGTCTAGAAATTCTGACCGGCGACTATATATTAACCTACTCCCTCTGTCCATGGAAGAATCAATTCCTAACAACTTTAGGACAAATTAGGCCCTGTTTAGTTTTCAAAATTTTTTGTCTCATACAGTAAAAGAGTATGTTTGGACACATGCATAGAATATTAAATGTAGACGAAAAAAAACTAATTGCACAATTCTTGGCAAAATCGCGTGACGAATCTTTTAAGCCTAATTAGTCCATGAAAAGCCTTAAGCGCTACAGTACCCACATGTGCTGATGACCGATTAATTAGTATCATTAGATCCGTCTCGCAGTTTCCTGATGGGTTCTGTAATTTGTTTTTTTATTAGTATCTAAAAACCCCTTCCGACATCCTTCCGACACATCCGATGCGACACCCAAAAATTTTCACCACTCCAACTAAACACACCCTTAGCAAAGAAGAGAAAAGACTATTTTACCCCTCATTAAACTGCTCGAACTTAATAGCTCTTCCAGTTCCGAGAATATTAATTGAACAATGTCGTTCTCTCCGATACAATATTAAATGTTGTTGTCCTGTACTCCGTAGTATCAACGAATTACGAGCTGCTGATAAGTGCCTGTTTAGTTCCCAAAATTTTGTAAAATTTTTCAAGATTTTTGGTCACATCGAATCTTTGAACGTATGCATGAAGCATTAAATATAAATAAAAAATAAAACTAATTACACAATTTAGATGAAATTCACGAGACGAATCTTTTAAGCATAATTAGACTATTGTTGAACACTAATTGCCAAATAACAACGAAAGTACTACAATACTATTTTAAAAAAATTCGCCAACTAAAGGCCTAAGCCCATGGAGATGAACTACCTTCTGGAGACGGGAGGCCGTGTTAAATGTGACCCAGAATACGAGGGGATTAAAGAGAATAAGAGGGGATTAAAGAGGGACGACAACAGTAGAAATCGATTCTTTGTTGGATAAATTTTTGGGCTAGATGTTGATTTCTTCGGGGACAGAGGGAGTAGACTAGAAAACAAACTGAAAAAACGAACTCCACAATTATTATCTCTTCTCTACATCTTCTTATCTTATCTTTTATTTTTTACATTAAAAAATAGGGAACCCTTTCGGCGTCCAACCAAATCTCGTGTGCTCCACCGCGCTCGCATCGCCCCTACGTACGTCAAACCGTGTCTTCTGTTATAAAATATACAGTCTGTTTAACTAAACGCTTAGATCTTAGCAGGACTATATATATATATGGGAGCTTTATGTTGTAATTATCAATATTGAGAGAAATAAAAAATAGTCTCCCTATCTTATGTCTACTTGTTCTTCTACCTTCATCTACTATGTTGACCATGATAGATGGAGAGGGAAAAGTCCGAACCGTTGGCGACATGTTTTACAACACATTATCAGCACGACAAGCTCTTCGTTGACATCACCGTTCAAGCCGTTGCCGATCTTCGATGCCGACTCTTGTGCCGACGTCCCTGCCGCGACGACGTCGACATCTGACGTTACTAGCGGAACGGATCTGCTACCTCTTATCCTGTTCGCTTGGCTAATAAGACATGACTGAAAGAACTGCTGGTTGATTTGTTGTGAGAGAAAAATATTGTTCGTTGGCTAAAAAAATACGGTTTATAAGCCAAGCGAACAGGGTGTCTACCTGCATCTAGTCTGCACTACATCGACATACACCATTGTCGTCAAGCAAGCAGTTCTACGACAATGACAAATGCCATACATGATATGTATCTATTAAATACTGCCCTACGCGATAAGTGAAGTAGATCAATTGGCATCAATGTTTGAAGGTACAAATTATATACATCATGTAGTAGATTAATCCATGCTCGGCATCTGCACGGGTAAAACCTTGTTTTTCAAATCTACTACAAAAGGCCGACTCGATGAATCGGATCGGAGAACATGATAAACTGTGGAATAGTTTATACGCTGCATGCCTGCATTACCTGAACATGCATACAAGCAGTAGCACACAGCACCATGCCAATGTCTACGACTTGCACGACGCCGAACGCCAGCAGAACTACAGACTAGCAGTCACTACTTATTCTTACGTTAATACTCAAGAAGAAAACAAAGTAGCATGCATATACGTATATGATTTTTGTGCATGCAAGCACATCCACGGAGTATGGACGGATACACGTCTGCCGCATTGGCAATCTGAACGTGCACCCAAGTCCATCACAGCTCACCTGTATCAGTGCGATTGCATTGGTCGTGGGTTTGATACGCAATCAGTACCATTGGATCCGGCTGCCCTGCATTGGCGCCGGCTTGTCCTCGAGTTTTCAGGATTAGGCAACAACATGAGCTCCGAGTTGCAGTCCTATGGTACCACGCAGGTGCCATTGCATGGATTTCATCGGCGCCGCTGCCAGAGTAGGCCGTAGCTGCACTT